GGCATTAGGGCTTTTGGAATGCAGAGCATGCCATAAAACGTCTTTTCCAGATGTAACCATTTCACATATGGTTCATAAAAATCAACAGGAACTGGGCACATTAATATTAGGTATATATTTGGATAGATAATTTTAGTGCAAACCAAACAAGACCATACATGACGATGTTAGCACATAGGAAAGGGGAGAAAGCAGTCTCTTCCCTCCTGGGTGACAAGGGTATGTTGTGTTTGGTATGCCTGGGTTTGAAATATAATTCTGAATGTTAATCTTCAGTTGCTAGAATGCCACTTGCACACACTGGAAGTTATTAATATTAGTATGAAATTGTTAGACCTGGTCATAACCTTGGTTACCTCCTAGACCCCATCCCCAAACTGGATGATTGGTCATTTGTTCTCAGGTGACACCCCTTTAATATCATAGAAAAGGACTGACAGGCCTGGATAAAAAGGAGCTCTCGTTTAACATCAATCAAGACACATCTAACGGACTTGAGAGCCACGGCAACATTTTTGCTCGGACAATTGGACTCTGTTAAACCAGGACTTTGCAAGTATTCTGCCTTCTTAACGCCTTTATTTTATTTTTCTGTTGCTTTATTGTTCTCTTTATGTTTTTGTAACATCTTTTCTGTAAATATTTGAATTGCACCATTTTGACCTTTCTAGTAATAAATCCTATTTTTTGAAAAGAATTGAAACTGTCTCTAAAGCTCTTAATGCAAACTATAGAATCCCTGTCTCTTGAAGAGTGCTACTGTATGTAATAGTTCTCTGATATCCCTGTCTGTGGTGGCAGTGTGTATTACAGACGCTTATGCTAATATCATCGTGTTATTGCTAGGATTTGTGAGTTTCCTCCTCTGTAAAAAGGCGGTGGTGGCAGTGTGAAGGGTTAATTGCATAATTAACCTGACCCAGGGACAATCGCTCTCAGGCTGCTGGCACACAGATTGTGGTCCCGCTAACTGGAAAGTCTGTGTACAGGGCGTAGGTGAGAGTGGCATTGTTATGCAAGTGACAGCCCGGTGTGAGATTGGCTGGTCCTTAGGTCACAGGTTGGTGAGAAGGAAAGGGGTCAGGAGCCATGTTCCATCACACTATACAGTACCCTACCGCAGTGCCTTTTGTCTGTTGTCTGGAGATCTGTAAGGATGATGTCTGGATTTAGGTTAAACTTGAATTCACTGTGAATTTTAATAATTCAAATGCAGCGTCCCCCTAGAATAGGTTGCTAGAGGGGTTCAGGTAAATTTAGTTGTTTAGCTCCTCTGTCATTATTTTTTGCTGTTCTGATTCTCACTGGCTGTAGGCTCAACTGTTTCCCCCTGCCTTCTAGTGGATTCTGGAAAATAGAAGGCTGGAAAAATCAGAGCCTTGGTCTGAATATTGATGTGGTATCAGGATGCCCAGCAGGAGTTCATAAGTAGCTGGAAGTCTGGAGCAGTAGGGTTCTTCTCCAGAAGAGAACATCCCAACTTTGAGGGCTGCTGCCCTGTTGGGCAGATTAGCTGAAGTTGTAGGAGTTCATTCAGGTTCCTGCTCTGTGAGGGGGCATATTTGCTGGGAAAAGTTTGAGCCAAATCGAGAGGACTCACCGAGGATCTGGCTTGGAGACACAGGGGACATGTCTGGCTGATACTGGACGGAGGTATCCATGTATACATGGACATTATGAGTAGAGGCCTGGATGTGGGGTCCTAGTGCTATACCTCCTTGAGTAAAGAGGTAAAATGTGGACAAGGGATTAACATAAAAAGAAGTCCCGATCAATAACTGACCCTCAGCTTAAGGAATAGCAGGTTTATTGAAGTTATATTCCTTAAGCCATGGGCCAGTTCTCGATTGGGACTTCTTTTTATGCGGACCCTTTGTTCACATTTTACCTGTTTGCTCCATATATAGTTTGGCAGAGTCGGCAGTGAATATTTCTAGCATCTTGCAGTGGATCCCGTTATGTTTAACTTTTTTATTATATACCTCCTGGAGTACCTGCTGTAATACTGCTGAATGGGGATTTTCCCTTTGCTTGAGTGTCCTTTGGCTACTCTTTGCAAAATTTGGAGTATCCCAAAGCTTACCCTGCACCCCATTAAAGTCCAACAAGCAATAAAGTATAAAAAGACACTCCTTGTCTGGTCATTGAGACTGCCCAGGTTGTTGCATGCCTGTCTGCTGTATACCCATTTGGGAAGAAAACCTAGGGCAAATCAGTGGGGCCTGTCAGGGGTCTGTGCTACACAATTTTGAATCAGACTTGGAGATTTTGAGTGCAAATATTTGCACTGATACATAATGCCGTTCACAGCCTTTGACCCTGGTTAGACCCTCACAGCAGCCAAAAACCTTGCCAGAAAGTATTAATGATGAGGTTGGGTTTGGGCTTGTGTTCAGGTCAAACCCAAGTTCAACTGAACCTGGAAGTTAGTCGCTACTGCTCATGACATCATTGACTTAAGATGGGTACATAGCCATATTAGGTCAATGTCATTGACTTATTAAAACTATGTGGTCATATTAGATCAATGATGTCTTGAGCATCCCCACTCCCTTGTACTATGTATGTGCTGCTGCATTACAAGAAGTCCACCACCCACAGCTCTATACTATCAAAGATAGTTAACGTTTGGGTTTGTTGTAATCCCAAACTCATGCTTTCTCACTGTAAGAAGCAGGCTGAGAGCAGCCATATTGATTATGTATAGAGCTTAAAAGAGGGACTCTGAAGGCAAACATCTATTGTGTCCTGTTTATAGAAAACCTATTATGATATGTGACACCAGTGTCATAGGACTGTATATTAAAACAAGACTCCAGTAAAAAAAACAAAATGAATAGACCAATAATAGTAAAAATAAAAGTACAGTTTTTGTTGCAATACTCACCTCCAATACTGAGTTGTACTCCACCGTATTTTCTTTTCACCACTAGATGTTCCCAGCTAGTGCCATTCAACCCTTTTTCCACACATATATAAAATTTAGCAATTTGTGTTTTTAAAGAAATACAGTATGTTCTAGTTTTTAATACATAATGGGGTTGCTTTACTAAAGCGAAACAGACTGTGCACTTGCAAGTGCAGTTCCACTCATTTTCCCCAGAGCTTAGTGAATGTGATGAAGCTGTGCTGATTTCCATCATCCAATCATGTGCAAGCAAAAATTTAGTTTTTTTATTTTCTTTACACCTGATTGGGTATTTTTTAAAAAGTGGAACTTCGCCACATTCGCTAAGCTCTGGGGAAAATTAGTGCAACTGCACTTGCAAAGTGTGCAGTCTACAGTAAATCAACCCCATTATTTTAGTTTACATCTATTAGATGCATTATTCTAATTTTGTATTATCATGTGTTGTGATTCACCATAGCCCAGGTGAAGCGTGTGTTACCCCTAAACACTCATTGGCATAAATAAAGTGGGATCTATTAAACATGTGATATTCTATTGACTATAGTTTTGGTGGTTTACTGTCTTATGTGGTTACACCAAAGGTTCCAACACTGCCATCCTGGTACCTGTGTACCAAGAGTAGCCTTTTGCAATTTGTTTACTATCAAAGTTTGATATCTATTTACTTGATACAACTCCATATTTTATATTTCACAAATAATTGGGAAAATATTATATTTGTGTTCACTAAACATAGTGTAGCTACCCTACCCTAAACAGAGCTGCAGTAAACTTGGCTCAATTGAAAGTTCAGCTTCTAGGTTTCTCCTGGGCCCTGCATACTGTATGTGTCCTTCTGTTGCCAGTAGGTGATATTTATTTCTCCCTGGCCAACTAGTAGGAGTCTTCGTGCCATTGGTGCATGCTAGGAGAGAGTATAAATGTTCAGGGAGTGATCTTGGGAAGTCAGTCTGCTCACCCATGGGCCTTCTGCCTGGGGGAGGAGTGTGTTGTGCTACTGTAACCTCTTAGGCCTGCTGCCTTAGAGGGTGACCATGTGGCTGGGCAGAGGCCTGGATTTGGGGCTTGGATGTGGAGCTTGGACCTCACTGGAGTATGGTGTCTTCTACCCAGGGTGCTGGCAACCTTTTTTGTGGAGTCTGCTGGCCCTCTAATTCCTGGGTGTCCTGTGCCCTATTTTCTTCTCCCTGGAGTTTTCTATGTAAGCAATAAGCTCATTTTTGTTTTGCATCCTAAAGTAACTGGTGCCCATCTGTTCACATTCCACCATCGCTTAAGTAATCTGCACCCTGAGGGGAAATGTCAGCCCACCCTGTCTATGGGAGTACCACCTTGTCTCCAAGGGTTCTACATTAATTTGAATGTTTTTTTTCCTACATTATTTATAAACATTTGGGAAAATATTGTGTAACATAAACAATAGCAACATTACTATTTTGTATTCCATAGGGCCTCTGTTTTCAGAATACCGTATTTTTCGCTCCATAAGACGCACTTTTTTCCCCCCAAAAAAGGGGGGAAAATGTCAGTGCGTCTTATGGAGCGAATATAAAGCGGCTGGTCTGGTATTTTTGCGGCCACCATGTCAGAATACCGGGCCGGCCGCTCAGCTGTTGTCTCCTGCAGGGCCTTACCTGTTCCTCGCTCCAGCGCTGCACAGTCTTCCCGCGCTGGCTTCTGTGACAGCCGGGTGCCCACTGCGCATGTGCTGCACTTTGTGAATGATCCGGTGTCTTCTGGGAACATGAAAGTCCCAGAAGGCGCCGGGCCATTCAAAAAGCGCAGCGCTTCTCGCACATGCGCAGTGGGCACCCGGCTGTCACAGAAGCCGGCCCAGGAAGAAGAGGGAAGGCAACTCCGCGGAAAGTGGGAGCGGGTACCTGTCAAATTCAGGTACCCGCTCCCCCTCCCTCCCCAAAGGTCCACAGTCTCTGGTCATTCCCTTCACTGTCCGCAGTCTCTGGTCATTCCCTGCACTGTCCGCAGTCTCTGGTCATTCCCTGCACTGTCCGCAGTCTCTGGTCATCTCCTGCACTGTGTCCGCAGTCTCTGGTCATCCCCTGTACTGTCCGCAGTCTCTGGTCATCTCCTGTACTGTGTCCGCAGTCTCTGGTCATCTCCTGTACTGTGTCCGCAGTCTCTGGGTCATCCCCTGTACTATGTCCGCAGTCTCTGGTCATCTCCTGTACTGTGTCCGCAGTCTCTGGTCATCCCCTGTACTATGTCCGCAGTCTCTGGTCATCCCCTGTACTATGTCCGCAGTCTCTGGTCATCCCCCTGTACTATGTCCGCAGTCTCTGGTCATCCCCTGTACTGTGTCCGCAGTCTCTGGTCATCCCCTGTACTGTGTCCGCAGTCTCTGGTCATCCCTGTACTGTGTCTCTGGTCATCTCCTGTACTGTGTCCGCAGTCTCTGGTCATCCCCTGTACTGTGTCCGCAGTCTCTGGTCATCCCCTGTACTGTGTCCGCAGTCTCTGGTCATCTCCTGTCTGTGTCCGCATCTCTCTGTCATCTGTACTGTGTCCGCAGTCTCTTGTCATCTCCTGTACTCTAGTCATCCCCTGTCCCGCAGTCTCTGGTCATCTCCTGTACTGTGTCCGCAGTCTCTGGTCATCATCTCTCTGTACTGTGTCCGCAGTCTCTTGGTCATCTCCTGTTCTGTGTCCGCAGTCTCTAGTCATCTCCTGTACTGTGTCCGCAGTCTCTGGTCATCCCTGTACTTTGTCCGCAGTCTCTAGTCATCTCCTGTACTGTGTCCGCAGTCTCTGGTCATCTCCTGTACTGTGTCCGCATCTCTGGTCATCTACTATGTCCGCAGTCTCTGGTCATCCCCTGTACTATGTCCGCAGTCTCTTGGTCATCCCCTGTACTTTGTCCGCAGTCTCTGGTCATCTCCAGTACTGTGTCCGCAGTCTCTAGTCATCTCCTGTACTGTGTCCGCAGTCTCTAGTCATCTCCTGTACTGTGTCCGCAGTCTCTGGTCATCTCCTGTACTATGTCCGCAGTCTCTGGTCATCCCCTGTTCTGTGTCCGCAGTCTCTAGTCATCTCCTGTACTGTGTCCGCAGTCTCTAGTCATCTCCTGTACTGTGTCCGCAGTCTCTGGTCATCTCCTGTACTATGTCCGCAGTCTCTGGTCATCCCCTGTACTATGTCCGCAGTCTCTTGGTCATCCCCTGTACTTTGTCCGCAGTCTCTGGTCATCCCTGTACTATGTTCGCAGTCTCTTGGTCATCCCCTGTACTTTGTCTGCAGTCTCTGGTCATCCCCTGTACTATGTCTGCAGTCTCTGGTCATCCCCTGTACTTTGTCCGCAGTCTCTGGTCATCCCCCCTGTACTATGTCTGCAGTCTCTGGTCATCCCCTGTACTTTGTCCGCAGTCTCTGGTCATCCCCTGTACTGTGTCTGCAGTTCATTGGGTCAGAATATTTTTTTTTTTCTTGTTTTTCACCTCTAAAACCTAGGGGCGTCTTATGGTCAGGTGCGTCTTATGGAGCGAAAAATACGGTATATATAATTGTTTGTGGGTTTTAAGTAATGTTTTAGCCAGAAATTCAGATTTTCCATGTGAGCAAGAATTGAAAAAAAAATGCTCCATTCCCAAAGTAGTTAATACCAAGCATACTAGAAACAGTACGTACTGTATCCGGATTAACATTCAATCCAGCTCTACCTTTCACAGCTCTACTGTCTGGATTGTTTTATTCGTCTCCTCCATGAAACTTGCAGAAGCTGCTTATCCATCAATTTTCTTTTCTTTCCACATACTCTTTATATTTTATTTTAATTACCACTATCTCCTTCCCTTTCTTTTTTCTGTGAACTTCAGTATTTTCCATTTTTTGAGCCATGGCATCCAATTTTCAGGCTCTCGTTTTTGCCATGCTCCCATAACTGATTAATTAGTGAACATTAAAATAATTTGAAAAAGAAAAAAAAATGATATGTTTTGACATACTTTAACATGATTGCACAAAATGTTTTTATAAAAATGACTGAATAGTTAGAATTGAAGCACACCAGCCGATATAGGGAGCATTTCTTTTCTTGGAATTTTTAACCTGATGAAGGGACCTTGTGCCTTCACAATGTGATTTCCACCATAAATACTGTAGCTCTAAATGTATCTTTGTTACCATTTTTTTGCAGGCACTAACTGTATAGCACTGTACATTTGCATTCCTCTCTTCTCTCAAAAAACATACTGTACAATCTAAGGTCCCTATCTTGATGTTTAACATCAAGGCTTGACATGTTTGGTATCTATTTACTCGATGCAACCCCATCTTTTATACCTTAGCAAAAATGGGTGTTATATCTTGTGTCTGCCTACCAATCCAATCCAGTAAAAGCAATTGGAAGGGGATCTATTCCACTCAGTCCGAACGGATCGGATCAGAGGAAAGTCGGGTGTAAACAGACAGCTAGTCTGTTTACATCCAACTGCTTATAGAGCAGAGCAGGCTGTGTCCATGTCCACTCTACATAAGCCTGTCATCCTCCTACTCCACTCAGAAATGGATCTGGTGGTGTGAAAGAGGCCTTACTCTTGCTATGCCATCTATCAGTGTGAATAGATGTTTTTTTTTATATAATCCCTTTCTCTCATGTCACAGCTTTCTTTCAATCCCAAAGTAGTGGTTGTGAAAACTCAGGGTAAAAATCAACTGGAAAAAAAAATAAAAAAAAAAAGAGCAGCCATTCAGGAAAGGAGGTATGTAGACATAAAGGCCCTGATTTACTAATGTGCGTAGACAACATCTAGGTGCATTTCCGTGGGCAAACGTCTACTTTTCATTAGAATCCATCTACTTTTAGATGGCAAAGACATTTACTAAAGAAAGCGTCTAACAGATAGACGCAAAAGCAAATTTACTTATAGCCACAATACAGGAATCCGTCTAAAAAAAAGCAGACGTCCTAGAAGCACGTCTAACAGAACGAAAAATCACTGCAGAGACATGTTCACATTGAAATGTGCTTTCCATGTGATGTCACATGGGATCGGGGTCACTCGGATGATGTCCCCAGGTGGCCCCGCCCCTTACATATTTAAGAACTGTCAAACCACTGGAGCAGTCACACGGTGGGAGCCATCTTCGGGAACTGAACCTTTTTCATTTCTTCGGGTCAGCGGCGGCAGCAAGCATCGTGATTCACATTGGAGCTACTGCGGGGGACATTCTTTTAGATTTTTCTTTTAAGAAAGAACTTGTCAAAGACCGTGTCCGGTGTTTTTTTACACTACACTTTTTGTTTTTTTGCCAATGAGTATGAATGAGTACCATGTACCCCATACTCATTCACAATGGGGGGGGGGGTTGGGATCTTGGGGCCCCCTTGTTAAAGATGTGGGATCTGGGGGCCCCCATAACCACAGCCCAGGGTTGTGGGGAAGAGGCCCTTGTCCCCATCAACATGAGAACAAGGTGCTTTGGGGGGAGCCCCCCTGCCCCAAAGCAACCCCCCATGTTGAGGGCATGTGGCCTGGTATGGTTCAGGAGGGGGGGGTGCTTCACTTGCCCCCCCCCCTTTCCTGACCTGCCGGGCTGCATGCTTGGATAAGGGTCTGGTATGGATTTTGAGGGATCCCACGCCATTTTTTTTTTAAAATTTTGGCATGGAAGTTCTCTAAATCCATACCAGACCCGAAAGGCTTGGTATGGATGGGGGGGGGGGGGACCCCATGCGGTTTTTTAAATTATTATTTTAATTGCTGGCAATTCTTTTACATTCAGCTGTCAGTGGGGAACTCCACTGACAGCTGAAACATGAACGCTGAATTGGTTTTCACTACTAAAAGGCCACCTTTTTATTGATAAAATAACTCATGCAGTATTTTAGTAGTGACAATCATGTGTTAATGTTCCCCACTGAAAGCTGAATGTAAAAGGCTTCTTGCAAACTGCAAACAGGACTTCTTATGGCTTTCTTTCAACAAAGGCTTTCTTCTTCCCACTATTCCATAAAGGCCAGATTTGTGGAGTGCATGAGTAATAGTTATCCTGTGGACAGATTCCCCCACCTGAACTGTGGATCTCTGCAGCTCCTCCAGAGTTACCATGGACCTCTTGGCTGCTTCTCTGATTAATAATCTCCTTACCTGGCCTGTCAGTTTAGGTGGACGGCCATGTCTTGGTAGGTTTGCAGTTGTGCCATACTCTTTCCATTTTCGGATGATGGATTGAACAGTGATTTGTGAGGTGCTCAAAGCTTGGGATATCTTTTTATAACCTAACCTGCTTTAAAATTCTCCACAACTTTATCCCTGACCTGTCTGGTGTGTTCCTTGGCCTTCATGATGCTGTTTATTCACTAATGTTCTCTAACAAACCTTTGAGGGCTTCACAGAACAGCTGTATTTATACTGAGATTAAATTACAAACAGGTGGACTCTGTTTACTAATTAGGTGACTTCTGAAGGCAATTGGTTCCACTAGATTTTAGTTTGGGGTATCAGAGTAAAGGGGGCTGAATGCAAATGCATGCTAAACTTTTTAGATCTTTATTTGTAATATATTTTAAAAACTATGTATCATTTTCCTTCCACTTCACAATTATGTGCCACTTTGTGTTGGTCTATCACAAAAATACGTTTTTGGTTGTACCATGACAAATTGTGGAAAATTTCAAGGGGTATGAATACTTTTCAAAGCACCGTAAGTCAATATTTAAGTTCCCTGCAGTAATAGAGCTAGGTCAGTCTGGCAGCCTATTTCTCCTACCTTTCCATGGCTCCATCTTGTCACTCTTAGGTCACTGCTGCGTCCTGTAGAAAATTAGTGATCATAGGATGAAACCATGGTGTGTGGTGGGAAACACAGACATTTGAAACTCCTGGAAGTCTTAAATGCTAAAGAGGCTTTAGTAAGTGGCAATGATAAAACAAAGGGAAGGTAGGAGACACAAGACCAGGATATATGAATGTAATTACCTTGCTATTGCAGGGCCCTTAAATTTGGAATTTGTACAAAATCTTGGCAATAGTCACTTTAAGGCAGAGGCAGGAGCTGTGATCTTTGAAAGTATAGTAAATATTTAAATAGACTTAAATCTGTTATCTAGGAATTGTTACAGAGCTATTATTATTTTACAGAATCTACGGTATACAGCACCAACAATTTGCACAGCGCTTTACAATATAAAGGGAGACAATATGGCAACAATACAGTTCAATACAAGAGGGTTAATTGGGCCCTGCTCCTTGGAGCTTACAATCTAAGAGGGAGGGGCTGCTGGTACAAAAGGTAATAACTGTGGGGGTTGAACTAATAGGAGGAATAGAAGATTCCGTTATTAGCTGAAGGCGGGATAGGCTTCCCTGAGATAGGTTTTCAGAGATTGCCTAAAAGTGGGCAGAGTAGGTGATAGTTGGATAGATTGGGGTAGAGAGTTCCAGAGGATGGGGGAGGCTCTGGAGAAGTCCTGGAGAGGAGGAGGAGACAAGGGAGCTAGAGAGCAGGAGATCGTGGGAGGAGCGGAGAGGACAGTTTGGGTGATATTTGGACTCTAGATTGGTGAGGTAATTTGGGGCAGAGTTGTAAATGGCTTTATATCTTATTGTTAATGTTTTGAATTTTATCCGCTGGGCAATGGGAAGCCAGTGGAGGGATTGGCAGAGAGGGGTGGCAGATATGGAACAGTTAGTAAGGTGGACGAGTCCGGCAGCAGTATTCATGATAGACTGAAGACAGGATAGCCTGCGATGAGGTTGGCCAATGAGGACGGAGATACAATAGTCAAGGCCAGAGATAACCAGGGAGTGAATAAGTTGCTTAGTAGTTTCCGAGGTTAAGAACGGCCGTATCTTGGAGATGTTGCGGAGGTGAAGACTACAAGATTTGGACAATGATTTAGGGCTGAATGGACAGATGGGAGTCTAGAATTACACCTAGTACCCTGGCATAAGGGGAGGGACTGATGGTTGTATTATTGATCTTGATGGAGAAGCCAGGGGAGGGGGCTATGACATAGGAGGAAATAAAAAGCTTGCAACAGTCTCTATGTACAGGTAGTTTAAGATAGGATAGCAAAATAGATAGCATGAGTTACTTTAAATAGAAAATATAGTAAAATAAAAATAAAATATCTGAAGATGTCAAATGCTAAATAAAGTTGATCTCAAAGGATTCTCTAAAAATTTAAAGTACGCTGTATTTCTATTCTATCTTAAAGTGTTACTAAACCCCAGA